ATGGGGCATTATGAAATGTATGGGGTAAAGCAAGTACTAGCAATACGTGTATTCAATTTGGTGTCAGGAATGGGATGAATCACATATAACAAGTTTTAAATTAGGAATATGCACACTATGATTATGGGGCATTATGAAATGTATGGGGTAAAGCAAGTACTAGCAATACGTGTATTCAATTTGGTGTCAGGAGTGGGATGAATCTCATATAACAAGTTTTAAATTAGGAATATGCACACTATGATTATGGGGCATTATGAAATGTATGGGGTAAAGCAAGTACTAGCAATACGTGAATTCAATTTGGTGTCAGGAATGGGATAAATCAATATTCCCAAGTTTTTTTTGTTTTACTGGAACTGAAAAACTGAATGCTAATTACAACGGTTATAGAAATGAATGTGACCAATGAATCAGTTTTCTTCTATAACACAGATGAGTTCAAGGTGAAAAGCGTAAAAAAAGCCTCAAGTCAATAAAAACCGGGGTTAGATTGTGTATTCTCCAATACATTGAAATTCATATCCGTCCGTATTTATAAAAATCCCATTACTCATATCACAAACAAAATTTCAGCAAGCAGTTGCTTGCTGGCTTGAAAAGATGACTTATTAAACCTCTGATAATAATATGAAAATATGTGAAGAAAACAATTGTAAACTTATCAGAATAAACATAATTTCTTCTCGAATAGGCAGTTTGCTTTTAGTTAAGGTATGTCAACGGATAGTAATATTGATTTTTAACAAACGATATATTTTCAAAAAAAATCAATACTTCTGATTTCTTGATCTACTAAAGAACTTGATCACAATACATTGAAAAAGCCACCCGAAGGTTCACGCTTCAGAAGTGTTCCCCAAAGCACTGTCACCGTTCCGGTCCCCTTTTCTGTTAAATTTTTCCATTAACTAGCTTTCGCTTTCCTACGAACGACAACTCTCAGAAGTCGAAAGTGCGAGCTAAGGACTGACGAGGTCTTACCTTTTAACGTGTGATTCCTATACGGTCTTTTGAATTTGTATAGTACTGGACCAGTGTCATCATTTATAGATGATACGATGATTCAAACGGTGAAACAAAACTGAACATTCTATAAATATTCACAAGTTGAGATGATTGCCACTATATTTGCCACTTGGCTTGGTGAAGTGACATATATAGTGAGTTCATTTTCATTCATTATTATTCAGCGAGATTAATATTATCCAAATTCAAACATTTGAAAACAATTTAATTTATTGGTCATATGAAACATGTATATAATCATATAAAAAATTATTTATCGGAGAAAAATTTCAAAACATTCATGTCTCCCCATTTATCTATCCAGTAGGTTCTGGTAAATGCAGATCGGAAAACAACTACTTTCCCGGCTGATACCGCGCTGAACGTTGATTTATATCCGACAGATATTCATGAAAGATACCTCACAGAAGTTAGTCTTGCAGCCTACGTTATAATGTACATTACTACTATATCAAATATACAGTGTAGAAGCAATGCAAGTAATCAATTTGGTGTCAGGAATGGAATACTTTATTCATTCATTCTCAAAATTTATATTTGTTTTTGTTTCAGCCAAACTGGACGGCGTGAAAACGTACATGCGCATGCGTCGCGTTCCAAACCACTTACAAGTCAAAGTGATCAAGTGGTTCGACTACTTGTGGCTCACCCAAAAGTGTTCAGATGAAGAAAGAGCCGTATCGTGTCTTCCAGATAAGCTAAAGGCTGAAATTGCAATCAACGTGCATCTAGACACCCTGAAGAGGGTGGAAATCTTTCAAAATACTGAGGCTGGATTCCTGTGCGAATTGGTGCTTAGGCTGAGGCCGGTCCTGTTCTCGCCCGGCGATTACATTTGTAGAAAAGGTGAGTTAAGGAATATTTTTGAAGAATATTATTTTGAAACGACTTTTCAACCCTGTGTTAGGAGGGGATTATCCTGCATCAATTTAAAACTATTTATGCAGCCTGAAGTCTAGCTCATTTTTTCAAAGCTTCAAAACCGGAATTTGATGTTCGTCTGGTGTGAGGCTAATTCTGGTGCCATCAAAATAAGAAATTCTGCAAATTTTCAACAGTACGGTTATGTTGAAAGCAATACTTGAGATAGTTGATCCTTTGCAACTTTGGAACTCCATTAGTTTCTTCTATGAAAGAAATCTTATCTATAAAGTTTCTTCATTGTTTCAATTGAAATACTCACATCTGTGGTTTCTATAAGTCGGTATTTCGATTCAGGATGGAAAATGGTTGGATTTCATCTGGCTACCTGCCATACAAAACGCTACTGGCTACTTGGCCGATCAAAAATGACAGTCTGGCTACTTTGTTTTGCTCTATTCTTGAGACTTTCAATACTGTATAACTTCCGTGGATTTTTGAAGTTTTACATTGTAGCACACCATTCAGTGTTTTTGTAACATTCTCTGCTTCACAAATTCAATCATTTCTTCCTATCTCATTATGAGACATTTATAATAATCTTTATTGTCACTTCGAGATGAATGTTAGACCTGAATGGTAATTTATGAAAGGTATCGATGAGATATGTTGGGATTACATGTATCTTCCACCTTTTAAGTTCCTTTTATAAAAAAATATTAGCTACAACTACCGAGTGAGTCCATATATTGAGTGGTCGAATGAAAAGTATGCACCTTGCTTTTCCCCTTTTTTTGTAACTTAACGCAAAAATGCTCGGACAGGTCAATTTTGCTTTTGAGGGAGACACATTTTAGATGTATTTTTCTACCTGTGCCTTCAACCCCCTAGCGAGGGTGAGTAACAACCCTAAAATTTCAAATAGAAAGTGGGGTCGAGTGATATATCACTTGAAAGGGCACAAAATTCTCTGATGATACCTGATTCGTTGTATTTACTTGAATAGTTATAAAAAAAGCAAGAACATTTACTCTATATTTTTGGTGTTAATGAAAATTCAGAAAAAACGGCATTTTTATCACTACTACATTCCTCAATTTCTCTCGTACGTTTTTTGGTTCGAATAACAACAGCAGATAAGTGTGCAGAAAGAATTTAGGCAAACGTTCATTGATTCAGTTCGGTTGCTTTTGAAATTATTTCAACTTTACTGTAAAAATGGTTTATTCCATTCCTGAACATTACAAAAAAAGGAGAAAAGCAAGGTGCATACTTTTCGTTGGACCACTCTGTATGTTTTGTATAGTTACTAACATCTATGAAAATCCTGAAATTGTTTAAATTTTACAAAGTTATTCTTATAGTTCCGCTGATTTCAAACCGAATGCACTGGACCAAAACCAACAACCAGAAGTTACAATCTTTCCACTGGCCAGAAAAGAGAAACAGCAGTAATGTTTATTGGGTCAAGTTTCTTTTATGGCCTCAATCCAGTCCGAACAATTTCAACAACCCGGATTATTGCGGCGATTTTTCGAGTATTGGACCATTCCGTTGAATTATCCCCCATTCCGATACTTCATGGGAAAAGTATCTGGAAAACCGAAATATTCACACTTTTTTTCTCATGAACATTTTGAAAAAGAGAACAGTCGAATACTGGCTGCAAAACATGTGACATGAATGAGTAAAACACAATCTTTTTTTCTTTTGATTTGCGAAAAATGCCTTATTTTATTTCTCTTGATATTACAATATATAACGATATAACATCATACAGTGTTTTTCTTTAATGCCCCCCCCTTTTATTTTTTGAACAGGTCAACTCAAAAAATCGAAATTTGGAATAATGAAATTAATACATGAATACCTCATTTTGAAGTGAAATTGACAGATAAAACTTTCAAGATGGCGACTGGGCACGATCTGAAAAAACATTAAATGGAAAGGGGGGTCTTGTAACAGATCTTTTTGAAACTCTTGACAAATGCTTCACAAACCTAGAATATAATGTCAATATCTTCAACAACTACAAAATGGCGGAAATTTAAATAATTGCCTGAATACATTGACATTTCACTACATAATATGAGGTAATAAGCTTGAGGTCAGTTCAGAAGATGCTCGAAATGGTTGCCTTGAACTTCTTGACATATGAACAGCCTATCCAGTCATTNCAATAATTTATCTGAAGAAATGTTGGTTGGGTAACAGGATCAATTTTTTCTTTAAAAAAACAAGTGTTTTCTTACCAACGTTTTGAATTCATTCAAATTCTTCTTCAGGGATCTGTAACAATAAATTTTCATAAACATGCCTCTCACAAAACTTATACGATTATTATCATTTTAACTTTACAAGAAATAATGAGTTCTTGATAAAATTACTCAAAGAAAAGTAGTTTCTTCGTGTTAATATTACTATTTTAACGTGTTAATTTACTATTTTAAAAACCATCAGACATTTTAGATACATTTGAAAAAAAAAACATTACAACAACCAAATTTTCGTTCAGTGTTAATGTCTCGAAAATTTGATTTTTGCAATGTTTTCATTTTTTTTTTAATGTATTTGTCTGATAGTTTTTAAAAATGTAATATTAACATAAAGAAACTACTTTTTGGTGAGTAATTTAATTAAGAACTCTGTAACTTTTGTGGGAGGTATGTTCATGAAAACTCATTGTTACAGAACCTTGAAGAATAATTCAATTAATTTCGAAACGTTGAGAAGAGGTTTTCTTTGGATTATTTTTTACAACTTTCGACGACATCAAAAACCACAGTATATCGCTGGTATAGTGAATTAAATCGTAGTCGTTCTTCGGCCGCCGACGAATTCCGTGAAGGTCGTCCAAAATCGGTTGTTGTCCACAAAACATCGATGCAGTGTGTGAACTGATAATGCAAGATCGATATGTGACGTATTGTGAGAAAGAAGCATCCTCACACACTATTTCCACTTCAATACATTCAATTTTGCATGAACGCTCAATTATAAAAAAAATGTTCTCGTTGGATACCTCATAATTTATCAATCGCTCAAAAAAAAGCTCGCGTCAAGTGGTGTAATGAAAAACTACGACCGTGGTGCTCCAAAACACGTGTGTAAAATCGTGACAGGTGATGATGCATAGATATATGAGTATGAGCTGGAAATAAAACAGCAATCGACCGTGTGATTCCAAGACGAGCTAAATCCAACAAAAGTTATTCGTGGAAGAAGCACAGCGAAGCAAATGGTCGCCTGTTTCTTCGGCCGGATGGGTCATGTGCACACTGTTCCGTAGAACGGTCAATTCTGAGTGGTACACGACCATTCGTTTGCCGGCTGCTAAGAAGTCAGTAGTGAGGAGAGCGAGAAGTGTCACAGAAAACCTCAGGGTTCCGCGAGAAACCTTCTCGCTTATTCCAAGAGCCTCCACTTGTTGTGGATAGTCAGCCGACCGCTGATCAATTGGAATCTTCTGGAATGACATCTATGAACACCCGCAGCCACCAAACTCAAACACTCCAGCCCTAGCGCGGTTCGAAGCTTTCAGCAGAGAGATTTGACATCCTGAGCTCAATGAACTGCGCAACCCCGGATGACGTTCGAGGAGCCCTTGTTGGTTCCAAGAACTTTGCTGCTCTAGGCCCAGATGGGCTGAGTACTTGGTGGAAAAAACTACCAAGCAGCCACCACCATCTGGAGAGTTTTCAACTCATGGCTGAACGGAGAGCAGCCGATTCCGGATTGGTTTGTCGAGAGGCGGACCGTTCTCATCCCCAGAAACGAAGATTTGTCGATTCCTAAGAATAACAGACCTATAGCATACCTGAATTCGTGTTATAATGTTTTACAAGCATCTTATACACACGAATACTCACCGCAGTTGACCGAGTGTTCAACTGGAAATATGAGCAGAAAGAGTAGAAGAGAGGCGTCGCTATGTGTGAAGAGAACCTGCTCATCGATAGATGTGTAACGCAGGATAAGATACAGTAGATACAGCAGATACTGCAGATACAGTATAAGAGTAACCTCTTTATGAGCATATCTTGCATTTGCTCAGATGCCTTGCGGTACCGGAAAAAATAGTGAGATGTCTTGAACTACTGATACCAATCTAGGGGATTCGCTTCACCATAACATCTGGTTTGGCCAGAGTCCAAACAGAGAAATATTATTATGGCAAGCAGTTGTAAGAAGGTAAAGACATACCACTTTCATTCGGAATGGGAAGAACAATACTTTTTTACAGAAGTTAAAGATAAAAATGTGTGTTTGTTATGTAATACTTCGGTCTCCGTTGCTAAAAAAGGAAATATTGA